TCTCTGCTAGTTGTATGGCATGTTCCATAAAATTCATGATACTGAAAATTCTGCTAATTCAATGACAAATAAATTGATATATTCCCTCTAATAATTCTGCTACCTCTCTTTGATAGTTGTATATTCCCTTGTAACGACTTCCTCTTTCCTCACCTTACTATCCTTTTCCACCATTTTTGTCGTCGCTATAATGTTGAAATTTTTTCCCCGTGCTTCGAGCCGCTGCTTCCAAATTGTGGGTAATTATTGCCACGAAGTTTTGATTAAAGACGACATCGTGACGGGAGTCACTGGGTGGCGCCATTTCCTTTATCTCCGGCATCCTTGATGAGTTTTTCATCTTTCTCGCTTAAGTCTAAGGTGGTTTTGAGCGTATTTATTACGGGAGTAAAATTTTTAATTATTTTTGGGGTATTATTCTAATTTGTTATTTTTGGAGGGTAATGGATCTAATTATCCCATTTTTAAAAGAATAATTTCATTATTTGATTATTGAAATGAAAAATTGAAAAATAAGTGTGGGTGTAATTTCCTCATTTCAAGGCCCGTTGACAAGGTTAGTCTGGCCCATGGGGACCGAACCTTTAGATGGCCCCCAACAGGACTCAAGACCTTACCAAAGCAGTCCAGTCCTTTTAAATTTTACCTCAAGTCCCACTCCTAAGCTACTGACGGCGGCCCATTTTCATACACAACCCAGTCTCTTCCTGCAACCTTCACAGTTCACCCCCCAAAACCCTAGTACCCCTCTCTTTCTCTCGCTAACTATTGCATCGCCGGGAATCAAAATATGGCGTCGAGTGGACAAACGGTGTTGCAGTTTTCATCATCTTCATCATCAACAAGTGTATCGGCTAGGGTCCATCCGCTAGTCATCTTCAACATATGCGATTTCTATGTACGGAGAGCCGACCAAGCCGAGCGGGTGATTGGTACTCTCCTCGGATCCGTTTTAACTGATGGTACCGTCGATATTCGTAACTCTTACGCCGTTCCACACAATGAGTCATCAGATCAGGTTTGTTTTATCCATTTTCCACTTCGACGGCTTGGTTTGTTCATTTGAAGAAAAGTATGGCAAATTGTTGGATATTTTGGGGCATGCTTTTTCCTGCTCGTAAACAGTCTTTATCCTAAGTTGCCAGGTTAATTATTTCTGCATATAGAGATAATTTTTCGAGTTATACCACCAGAATACACGTATTTGTTCGCAATTACTGCACTTTTTACTTAATTGTATCGTTTTTTTGAATTTTCATGCTTAATTTTCAATGTTGGTTTTGCTATAAAGAAAATTATGTTTTTCATTTTATTTGGTGTTATGAGTTTTGGTAAAATGGGACCTTTTATGCTTAATATGTGAAACTTATTTTTTACAATTTATTTGGCCTTTAGGTTGCATTGGATATTGATTATCATCACAATATGTTGTTATCCCATCAGAAAGTGAACCCAAAGGAAGTCATTGTTGGATGGTAATCTTTATCATATTCACTCCCTTTTATTTTTTCTCATTTTCATGTGAATCCTGGGTTGAAATTTTAATGGTTATCTATGTTATTTTTACGTTTTTGAAGCACTTATTTTTCTTTGCACACATCTTCCACTTCCACTTCCAGTTTTTTTTTTAAATAGATTTATGATTGAAGAAATGTCATAGTTCAGTTTCTGATTTCTTCTTATTTGTTAGTCTACCTAATTAATCAAGAAGCAATCTAATGTAACCCTAAATGCTGCCATTTCATACTCATTCAAGGGTTTACTAAGTCATTTCTTGAATATTGTTGTAGAAGTGATGCACCATGTTATCTTGTAACTCACTTTAGGAGTTAAATATGAGCTACAGTTGCTGTAAATTCACATCTTTTGGGATATTATTTTTTGAATTTGGGAGATAACTTGTCCAATCGGTACTAGGATTCAGCTTAAGCCCCTGTTTGACACATTCTTTCAAAATACATTATTTCATAACTCATTTTCAGTAACACATTTTCCAATAAAATAATATTTTCTATCACATCAATAACTTTTCCTTATTTTTAAATCACATACGTCTCCTCATATCACTATTTAAAATACATTATTTTCTCAATAATATCCATCAAATACGCCCTAAATATCTCATGAGGCAAAGGTTTTTAGTTCGAATATTGGGGACAAGACCAGGGCGGGTCCAGAAAGCCGAGTGAGCTAGGGCGGCCGTTAACTGTTTACGATTGCAATAGCAAAATCATTTATTAATATTTAATTAATTAATATTAAACAAAATACATATTAATATATAATTATTACTAATTAGACTCCCTCATTTACGGGATGAATAATAAGAGATAGGAAACATAGATTCTTTTGCATCTCGATTCAAAATACATCCATTATTGAAAATTCAACAATCCAAAATAACAAGAAAAAATTACATTTTTTGAATCACATACGTATGATCAAGTTTCAAGTTTTCCGAACTTAAGCGAAACAAAATGAAAATTATACGTAAAATATGATTAAATGGTAAATACAAGTTCTGAGCTTAGGTGAAGCTTATGCAAAGTTTTTAAAACAATGATTTTTAGATTTTTTAAAAAATATATATTTCTCACTCCTAAAAGAATAAAGAGCATTACTTAGATTGTCTAAATTTAAATTTTACACTATAAGCCCCTGTTTGGCCCCCATTTTGGGGTGTTGAAAATTTTTGAAATAGTGATTGATGGGAGAATGTGTGGTAGAAAAGTAATGAAAAGTTTTAGATTTGTGTGTAATATTATTTTATTTGATGAATGTGTGGTTGAAATGAAAAGAGAGAATTAATGTAATGTAATGGAAAAAAATGGAGGCCAAATAGATGCTAAATTAATAAAATATAACAATAAAAATATATATTATGCATAGTTATCATATATGATCCAGTCGTTAATTGAAAAAAAAATCATCGGATTAGTGGTTCAATCGTTGGATCATCGAATTTTAGTTAAAAAAAACAATTTTTAAAACAAAGACTATTAGTTTGATATACTAATATTTCTTGTTTAGTTTACTAAGGGTGTGTTTGAATCTAATTTTGAGGAGAATAGAAATTTTGGAATAGTGATTGATGTAAGAATGTGTGGTGGAAAAGTGATGAAAAGTTTTTGATTTGTGTGTGTAATATTATTTTATTTGGAGAATGTGTGGTTGAAATGAAGAATGAAAATGAGAAATTAATGGATGTCAAACAGGGGCTGATTTACAATTGTCATGTGGTCAAGCTTTTAACCATCACATTTTTAGTACAGGGTTTGAATCTTATCTATTGCAATAGTATAATAAGACTTTTCTTTCAGCCAATTTGATAGCTAAAAAAATATAAAATATTAAGAGGTTTTATGGAATCGAACATTGTACCTAACACATAGAATGCTGGTGCCTAGCCATGTGAGCTATGCAACCGCATGATAACATTTGATACAACATATTTATAAATATTAACAGGAATTATCTAAGTTTTATTTTTTTCCCTGCGGATCCAGCATGGGCGACCATCCCGACTCGCCGAGTGCTGGATCTGCCCCTGGACACGACGGAAGTATGTGGGTTCAAGCTCTCCCACGGTGGACAATACGTAAGAAAATGGTCGGACACAAGGTCTCGGTTGTTACAAAAAATTGCATGTTTTTTGTAACGACTTGGGCCTCTTGCTCAAGTCGTTATGTCATACGTAGCGGACTCATACGTACCGTTCACTTTGGGAGAGTTTAAGACCATTCTACCTGTCATGGATTTCTATCGTGTTCCTAGGATTTGAACGCCTTAAATGTTAATTTCCAAAACTTGATGTGTTACCAAAATCTTTATTTATTTATTATATTTTTTAAAGAGAAAAATAACATGATGGTATAAATTCTCTATTTTAAGAAAATTAATTTTTCGTTGTAAATAAAAGGGGAGTTAATAATTTCACTTAACGAATTTAAAGTAGTCACGTAATATTTAAATTTAAATAACATCATTCAATTGTCAATTTGAATGAAATACAAATAAAACATGAATGTCAAAACTCCTAATTAATGTGCAAATGCTAATGAAAATTTAGTCATGAATATGCTTAAAATTTATTTTTTTACTTGGCAATCTATAAGCATCCACTCGTCCAATCTTCTACGGGTCCATCACGACCTGTTCTAATTTGAAATTTTTGTTAGAGTGAATATTTTAAAAATAAAACACTCAACAACATAATATAAATATACATCAAAACATTTCATACCTGACATTTTTAGATTTAGAGCAACTGATCGCGATAACGGATAGTTTAAGGAATTTATTTAGAATTCTCACGTCCCGAAGGAATTAACATAATTGGACCTTACGATCTATCCCGAAGGATTTAACATAAAATTGATCCGGAGGTCTTCATAAAATAAATATCATGGAGAAGAAATAAGAATTTAAATGTGGATAATCAGTGGATGAATGAAAGTGGTATGGTGATTGAGAGAAATAATCATGCGTTCCCCTGTATCGCTTAACTTACACACCCACTTGCAAATATTAAATAATAAAATGATAAATTAGTTGTTTTCTTTAACACATCAAATCTCCACGTATTTCCATCTATCAATATAAAATAATTATAAAATGATATAATATTAGATGAAAAAAATATGGTTTTATATCAACCACAATAACTTGGCATGATTCGTTTAAAATAACTTTTTCTTAAGCCCAAATTACATTTTACGTAATTTAACGCGATCTATAAAATGAAACTCATATACATATATTTTTATCAACTTTCATAGTACTTACGAAAAACAATTTAAAATCACGATTTTGAAAATAAATCTTATTTTTTAGAGAAATAAGTGGAATATATATTATTTAACTTATAAATTTGTGTGGTTGACAAGGCTAGACATGCACCACTTAATTTGTAATGACTAAAATTAAATTAACAAAACTTAAGCCCTACGTAAAAAGTAAATAGATCTCGGGGTGCTACAATCTTCCCCTTCAAATAATTTCGTTCTCGAAATTACTTCATCTGGTAGAAATTGATAAAAATATATAAATATAGGTATCATTTTATAGATCTCATTAAATTACGTAAATTGAGCTCAAGAAATGTTATTTTGAACGAGATATGCTAAGTTATTGTGATTGATGTAAAACGTTATTTTTTTTTTTTATCTAATATTATATCATTTTTATAGTTCTTTTACATTGATGGAGTTAAATAGATTGGGGTTTGACGTGTTAAAAAAAGCAACTAAATTATCCTTTTGTTATTTAATATTTACAAGCGTGTTTGTAATTTATGTGATATAGGGGAACGCGTGATTATTTCCCTCGACCACTATACAACTTTCATTCTTCCACTTCTACATTTATCTTATATATACGCTCAAACACCCAATCATTTGGAAGCACCTAAATTATCTATTATTGTCCTTTTTGAGCCACATCAATTTTTTCATTCTCATTCTTCTACTCATTCTCAACCGCACTTTTTTCAATAAAATAATATTTTTCATCACATCAATAACTTTTCCTTCTTTTTCAACTACACATTCTCCATCACATCAACAATAAAAATGCATTTTTTTTCCAAAAATGTGCACCAAACAGGGGCTATATATATTTTTTTCTATTCACCAAAGAGATCATAATTAAAATAATCAAATTTCTTAGCACTTTCATATTTTCATTTAAGGTAAGATACATAAGGTGCAAAGGTTATTTTTTTATTTCTCCATGATATTTATATTATGATTACATTTAATGCCTTAAAACCTCCGGGTTGATTTTATGTTAATTCCTTCGAGATAGATCGTCTGGTCAAATCATGTTAAATCATTCTGGATGTGGGAATTCTAAAGAAATTCCTTGAGCTATTCGTTTTCGCGATCAGTTGCTCTAAATTTAAGAATGTCGGGTATGAAATGTTTGATTTATATTTATATTATGTTGAATACAGATTTTGCATGTATCTAACCGAGTGTTTTATTTAAAATTCTCACCCTTAAAATTTTTTTAGATTAGAATGGATCTTTGTTGAACGCGTGGAAGATTAGACAAGTAGATGCATATGGGTTGCCAAGTAAAAATAAATTTTAAGCACGTTCATGACTAGATTTTCATTTAGTATTTTCAAGTTTAGTATTTGCACGTTATTTAAGGGTTTTGACATTCATGTTTTATTTGTGTTTCGTTTAAATGGACATTTGAATGATGTTATTTAAATTTAAATATTATTTGACTAATTCTTTAAATTTGTTGAATGAAATTATTGACTCCCCTTTTAGGTTAAAATGAATACTTTATTTTCTCAAAAACGAGAATTTATACGATCATTTTATTTTTCTTTTAAAAAAATATAA